ACCCTTTCCCTCACAGTCCGCGTTATGAAAAAAGCCCTCGCAGCTGGCGAGAGTAAAGATTGAGAGTAAAGAGAGCTAGAGCTTCGCGGAAAAACGAGCCTGTTGCCCTTGACGAGAGGAATCCGATGATACCCGATTTTAAGGTCCTAGGTCATTAGTTGACCTTCCAGGTCAGGTCAATGACCCAAAGTCGGGAATATCGGGACCTGTTAGAAAGTCGTAAAGTGTGGCTGCTAAAGGGTTTTTCGGGGTGCTGATCACGAATATCGTGTTAGTTCTGATCACAAATGATGTCTTCAAGCATTTAGACCAGGTCGGGTCAGGTCAGGTCAGGTCAACCAATAGGCGTCGGGACGGGTATTCGTAGTACGTGTCAACCGCCTCTCACAGCTTCGTAACATGTTACAAAGGCACTAAAACTACTTCGTAGATGTTCAAATGAATGCTAAATTCGAATTCAGCTCCAAAAACTAGCCTAGAAACATGTACAGCTCGAAAAAGTGAACCGAGGTCACCAAAGGTCAATGACCTGACCTGACCTTCAGGTGACCTTGACATGTACCCAAATGCATGGGAGCAGCATCAAATATCGTGTTTCAGCGTTTGAAACCACGAGAAGCTTGCAAACGCGCGGCTAATGCGAGCCGACATACGCCGAATCGCGATTCCGGCCAAACATGGCCTCGAGAAATAGGTCACAGGTCAAAGGTCACTTGGGTCAGGGTCATGAAATTTTCAGGGTAGGTGTAAAATTGATCAACTCGAGGGCACTGAAAGTTTCGTTGCGCTCGGTCGCTTTTTGCGCGAGTTATTTGCGAAAAACCATGGGGGGAGGGGTGGGGTCCATCCGATCCCCCCTACACATGCGAGGGTTAAGATACCCTGAGGCTGAAAAACTTGTACTTTGATTTTCAGGTCAAGGCCAGGTCATCACAACAGAAAGCTTAAATCATGACTCGGTCACGGGTCACATGTCACATGTTTCGTGACCTATATGGTTCATTCAGGCCATAGATTTTGAAATAAGTGACGTTTGTGTCATTGAAGGTCATCTTCAGCTTAATAGGTATAGCTGAGGTCAGGTCACTTTCGGGTCAAAAAGGTCAAATTTTAAAGTTGAAAATTTTCAACAAAAAGGATGTCTATTGGATGCTATTTAAGCTCAGTAACTCGCCGGTACTTTTTATATTGGTGTACGATGTTTAAAATGCACGAAAAAAACGTACGATTTGAAAAGTTAATTATAGTGAAGTTTTGACTATGACGCGTATACCTTAGCTATTTTCAACGATATCGGGCTAAAACTTTATAGTGACATGTTACATAGGCACCACAATTACTTCCTAAATGTTCGAATGGACGCTTCATTCGAAATCAGCTCCAAAAACTACCTTACAAGCATGTACACCCCGAAAAGTCATCTAAGGTCATCTAAGGTGAATGACTTTGACATGACCTTCAAGTGACCTTTGGAGCCACTATTATGCATGGCACAAACAACATCTCACATGTTACAACGTTAATAGCTACAAAAAAAAAACAGAAAACACACGGAATATGTGTGCTGACATACGAGTATGCGCTAATCTCGCTTCCGGCCTGAATAATCTGAAGAAGCAGGTGACTGGTCAAAGGTCATTTGGGTCATGGTCATGAAACATTTATGGTATGTACAAAATGAATTCACTTGTAGATGTTGTAAGTTTTGTCGCGATCAGCCACTGTTTGCGCGAGTTATTCGCGAAAAAAAACGAGGGGGGCTTTCGACACACCCCTCAGGCCCCACCTCTCTAAGTGCGAGGGTTAATTAAGCCGTGACTAATTTCTAAATGATGGTGTCGTTTCGACCAAGATATCTACTTGGGCACCGAAACGTTCTGGAGCAGCATACAAACATCAACACTACACTAACTTGCATATGACCACCATTAGAAAACATAACAATGCAAGAATGCACGTATACAACCAACGATAATTTAAACGTCCTTCTTACCTGATGGTTGTGTCCCAGACTGATATTGGCCAGTGCCCAACAATGCCGACGCCAGCATTTTTCTTTCCGAATAGGCCGGTCCTTATGTAATCCTTCCGTGTGTTTCTTCAGGCTCTCTTTGAGACTATGAAAAGTACGACCAGTATTGGTACTCACACCTTTCTTTTGAATTAGACGGATAAACAGGCGCCATGCCTATAAATTTGCCCAAGCAAATGATATGCTAGATGAACAATACATGCACAACTGTCTATAATCACTGCCATCCGCCGCGTCGGCACACCGGTATCTCCTCACCTTCTCCCCACACGGCCTTGACTCCCCAACTCACACCATCACACTACTGCATACGGTGACCGGTCACACGGTGGATCTGAATGCCTACGTTTTCATGCCAAAGTCTGAAACAACTAACGATTATCATCAGAGTAGAAATGTTGAAATTTAACATTTTAAAGCTTTTAATTTAAAAGTTTATAAGTGTGTTTTAACGCACTTGTCCTTATTGATTGAGAAAGAGCGCACTTTTGATCGTATTACCTAATACGAAGTAACGCAATCGAAGTGTGATTCCGGTCCACTGTGCGTTTTCAGGCGCGCTCGATAAAACACCCAGGCCTGGAGAAAGTTGGAAGGGTGATTTTCTGATCCTCCTTACCACAAAATGACCCTAAGCGAAAAAATGCCCGCGGGGCGCTGCCAACGCGTGCCAGCGGCCCTGCTAGTAAGGGCGAAAATCAATGTATGTGTATGCGGAGCACACCCTTAGCGCTACGATGGCTCCTTGGAGACACCTGGAGAAACCTCTGCCGGCAGAAGGGTCAGGTCCCTCGCAGACGGCGCGGCACGGCGGGAGCTCAGCGGGTGGCCTAGCCGGAAAGAGGATAAAAATAGCCGACTGGCCCGACCAAGCGAGGGGTGACCAAAGGGTGACCAGGAGTGAATGAGGGAACATACACGCGGTACCGAGCAGCCGATAACAGCACCGAACGATTAGAAAGTCATAAGTCAATGCTGTATTTTAGGCGTAAGGAAGCATCCATGTAGACGGGCGAACTGTCTCCAGCTCTTCCAAGTATTGCTAATATCTTGCTCCAACGAGCGTTCGCACGTTGAAAGTTTTATCGACCACTGACAGCACCGGACGATTAGAAAGTCATGAGTCAATGCTGTATTTTAGGCGTAATGAAGCATCCATGTAGACGGGCGGACTGTCTCCAGCTCTTCCAAGTATTGCTAATATCTTGCTCCAACGAGCGTTGGCACGTTGGAAGTTTTATCGACCACTGCAAAAAAACGCTACCGTGAAAATTTACCTAGAAATTCTACCGAGCGGCATAGGAACTTACCAATTGTCCGACCAGCTATTTGATTTCCATTTTTTAAGCATCATTGGAATCAGGAGCCGTGAAATAATGGGGGGAAATTACACCAACCCACAACTTTCAAAAATCGAGAGCAGCGTGTACCGCTAATATCCAGTTAACGCCCTGTATAAGACTTGGCCCTGGCTAGTCGCCATGACGTCAAGCAACTCCAACTCCGTGACCCCGCTTTTTTCCTTGGGTTCTTTTCTTATCGTCCACGTAATTTTGCATAAAAACATTTGCGTCCACGAAGTGAATTGTGCTTAACCCTCGCCCTGGCAGGGCATTTTTCATAACACGGCCTGGCAGGGGGGGGGGGTCGATGCGACCCCCCCCCCCTCGCGATTGGCCCCTATGGCACCTAGAAACACCAAATTTAGTAGGTAGGTGGGCCCCCCGGAGTTCTCGCCCCTGTGCAAAGTTGGTTGCTCTAGGTCAATATTTAGGGGGGTTTTGGGGGGTATAAATGTAAAAATTTCGCTAAAAACAGGTCAAAAGTTTTTCGCTTATAACTTTTGATCTAATTAAGATAGAGCAGAAAGAAAAGCACCAGTGAACTCAGCACGTCAAGGCGCGTCGAATGATATACTTTTTAGCTTTCTTACGTGTACTTAAAGTTTTTCTTAATTTTTAAGTAAACTTTAATTAATCAATTAAGTTCAAGTTAACCAAATTGCATCATATTGCATATCATTCGATTCGGCTGATCACCAGGAACACAATGACACTATTTTTAAGCTCTAGCGTCATTATGTGCCAAGTTATTGGCAAAAACGTCATTTGACCTCAGTTGACCTCATTTGACCTGACCCATGGATAAGTACACCAAACAAAGAAGCACCAAGTGACCTGCTGTTAAGTACTGTGGTTTCAAAGCACAAAAGTGATAGAACGAAGCGGATATCCCCAGTATTTTCCTAATTTTGTATTTTCCCATAGGCTTAACATTACGACGTAATGACCTCTAACTGACCTCAGGTCAGTGACCTCAAAAAACCCGAACTATATGTTATACAACTCGGTGAACTTAGCACACCCTGAAAGTTTGAAGGAAATCAGTTCAAAACTGTGAGCAGGACAGGTGCGAAAAGAAAATTGAAATTTGACCATGACCTTGTACCGGTTTTTCTGACCTGGTGACCTGACCCAAGGTCACCCGGACCTGAAATTTTCAGGTCACATGTAAAAAGGTTGCCCCATAGGCTGTGCCAAATTTGGCGGCGCTGCGCGCCGCCGTTTTTACGCTATCTTTGAAAAACCTTAGGGGGGGTCGCATCGACCCCCCCCCCCCTGCCAGGGCGAGGGTTAAATGCCACGAACAGATGTCGTTTTGTACTAATTTTGTAGATGGCGCCAGTGTTCATCCTGACTTCGTAATGGTGAGATCAAGTCCGGTGAGATGGTTTCACGGAAGCAGAGCGGCGGGAAGAGAATACTGACCGTGGACCACTGTTTTTTTTCTCTCTCTCTCTCTCTCTCTCTCTCTCTCTCTCTCTCTCTCTCTCTCTCTCTCTCTCTCTCTCTCTCTCTCTCTCTCTCTCTCTCTCTCTCTCTCTCTCTCTCTCTCTCTCTCTCTCTCTCTCTCTCTCTCTCCCTCCCTCCCTCCCTTCCCCCCCCCTGGCGCCAGCCGCTGAGCTTGCCTGAGGTTGTGCAGGCTGCGCTCGTGCTGGCCCTCCTGCTGGCGCAGCGAGTCGTTGAGCTCCTCCAGCTCCCGGCTGGCCACGTCACAGCGCTGCTCAGGTGTCAGCCGACTGAGTGGCGCTCCTCGCACGCCGCCGCTCAGGCCGACCCGTCCCTGCACGCACAGCCGCGGGGCGGCGTCACAGCCGACCTAAACAGACTATCAGCGGCTGACAAGTGGCCAATATCTTATTTTCCGACATTTTGGAATGGTATATTTCTTTCCATTCCGTGTCACAAATTTATCAGACCACACGAAATATTTCTTTATTGACAGTCCGATACACGGAGTGGCAATGCAATACCTACCATCGCCGGACCAAAGGAAAAAAGGACCTAGAAATTGAATTAAATACATAGAAAGAAACGCTCGCAGCTAACAATGACAACACAAACGCCGCAGGAAAATAAAAACAATGAAAAAACGCCCCCGCCTTGTACAGCCCACCGCTAAAGTAATGTGCGGTTTTACCAATCTCAATGGATGGCTGTGACTGGCGATTTTTTAATGCGGAGTGATCGAAAAGAAGACGTCAATAGATAAAGTTGCAGCTGCAAGGGTAACGATACAGGTTAGCTACATTCAAAGTTTCATTGTGGTCTGGCTACTCATTCCTAAGCTTCAGGTTCAAAAGCAGAACATACCCAGGACTAAAACCGCACATTACTTATGCCGTGGACTGTACGTCTCCGCATGCCCGCAGTCAACCGCAAACAACGACACCCCAAACGCGGCGAAATAAAAAATAAATGAAACGCTGCCCGCCGGAAAAAAGTCATAGCAAACACCAAAAAATAAAGATGAACAAAAAAAAAACGATACATAAAAAACAGCCGCCCTGCCCGCCGTGGACGCCCGCTCCGAATCGCAAAAAAAGAAAAATATCCGCGAGCGCAATAAAAATAAGAAAAAATACCACACCGAACGCCATCAGCCCGCCGGCAACAATGCCACCGCAAACGATGCGGAAAAGAAAGAAACAACAAAATAAAGAAACAAAACAGATAGCAATTAAAATAAGAGAAAAATGCCCGCACCGCACCACCGCGGTCCACCTGAGAAGAAAAACGCCACCACAAAACACCGCGGAAAGCAAAAAATAAAAATATTAAATGGACATGTTCATATCTAACATGGGGAATGGAGTTGAGATAGCAGTTTTGCTCGTTATATGCTAAAACCACATAATCCGGAGCCATTCGTCTCAAAAATATAAATGGACAGCGCTAGAGAGCAATTTCGATTGTCTTTACCAGATTGCCAAGGTCTTTACCAGATATGACCAGAGGTGTATGACGTTAGCAAGAAAGAGCCTAGATTTCAAGTTAACGGGAACGGATTAGCCTAACAGATTGGTCTTTTTTAAACGTCGAGCCGATAGGCGAGACGTTTGAATTATTTTTTTTATACCTACGAGCGTTTTTTATAATGCTATCCCAAAGCGCCGATATCTTTCGGGCGCTTAAAGATAAAAAATACATTTTGTATGAAAAAATAGGACACATTTCAGACTAGACGAAATGTCTACTACTATGCTTTTCAGACCCTGTAGAACATTCCTTTTCGGCTATTTCTCATTGTATATGCGTTTGAATTTAACCAAACTTTGGCATTGGTAGTTTGAGATCCCTACCTAATTTTTATCAATATGGTCTGTTAATAAAAAATGAACAATAAAGGCACTTGTCATTGACTGATAATGTTAAGGTCGTCAGTGCCCCGCCTAGAGGCTGGCACAGGCTGGGCGAGCTAGTAACGTGATAAATGACGTCACGCAAGATCAACAAAGCAAAAGAAAAGCATCAGACCTTGCAAGGAGCGCATGAAATCACGATTCCATGTGCTTGAGAATTTGAGATATGTAGTTGCAGATCATTTCCGGAGCCAAACTAGCAATTTCCATATTCCCTCCCCCCTTCCCCGCTGACTTTTAATGGCGAGAGACTAGAGTTCTGCGCGGCTGCAATGCTCCACAGCCTAGCCGCCCCGCAGCCGTGGCCCCACAGCCACAGCCACCCACAGCCGTGGCAAACTGTGGGCAGCCAGCCGTCAACCGGCCGTGGATACCTACTTTTGATGTCAGCCAAGTTGATGGCAGCCAAATAGCAAAAATAAGTTGTTTTTAGTTCAACATATAGACAATAGCACATTGCAAATGGCTATAGATTCTCAAGCTCATGAAGCATAGCTGCACAAGCTTGCAAGGGGTTAAGAAAGATAGGTAGGTACAGGTCTCGCGAGATTAAGCGGTAGGTTTTGCACTTTTACATTTCCGGTTATATCTCAGAAACTAATCGATCTACGATGAAGCCATTTTACACGATCATGGCCGGCTTGTTACCCAACAAGTCGATCGCATCTTCAACACTTAAAAGCTTAAGACGACGAAGATATAGCATGAAGTACACAGGTGCAAAACCTACCGTTAAAACCCGCGAGACCTGTACCTACCTACATGAACAGAATACTTTAACCCGGCAGGCGGTGGGCCTCCCGGCCACCTTCCGCGCGGTGCGGGGGGCATTTTTTGCCCCCCCCCCGTATCTCCGAAACTACTGGACGAATCCGGAAAATTCAAACGGCGTTCGATAGCCCTGTCAACTTTGCCAAGGGAAACCAAATTTCATTGACCTCGGGGTCACCGATGACGTCACAGGTCAGGTCAAAGATAAAATGTTTCACCGTTCACGGGGCTTCTAAGGAAAGCGCTATAACACCGAGTACAACGCATTTTGTCGAAAATCAGCGATAGGGCGTCAGTTGTCTAGCACATATGTTGCTTTTAGAGGTCACTGGTCATACCAGGTCAGGTCACAGGTCAGGTCACCAAAGCCCAAAGGTCACCAAGGGTCACCACTAGAGATGTCAATCGGATACCAACTTTTTGGTATAATGATACAAAACCGATACCAACTCAGTATTTGGTATTTCAATCCCAATGTGTTTGGTATTTTGTTGGTATCATGAACCCTCGCTAATGTTGAAGAGGCTAAGAAATCAGTAAACGTTTGGTATTTTCCTCATGTTCCCAAGTTGGTTTGGTTTCGGTATTTGTCCACGGTTTTGGTTGGTATTTGGTTTGGTATCGGTATTCCGATTTTCCGTAATTGACATCACTATAGTTCGTTTTTCTTAAGTTTGCCCCTCACTGTAAACGTCTCTTTGAACACAGCACGAGAATTGCTAGCTGAATTACTGAGAAAACTGGTTAGCGCACATTGTATTGTAGATATGAATAATATTTTCAAAAATAAGTTTTGAACACCGACGATTTGACGTTATGTTAAGCGCCGTGCAATTTATTTATTAGTTCAGACATAATTCCTGAGGAATCGTCTATCCCTGTGGGCCTGTAGGTATTGGCAAATACGATTTACGAGTCTGTGAAATAGTAAATAAATTTGATGAAATTGATCGTCTGTGAAATCTTGTCAAATCAGTGTGCGCCAACCAGTTTTCTCAGTAATTCAGCTAGCAATTCTCGTGCTATGTTCAAAAAGACGTTTACAGTGAGGGGCAAACTTAAGAAAAACGAACTATAATCATGATCTCTCCCTAATGCATGAGAGGCTAAGAAATCGGTAAAAAGTTGGTATTACTGTCATTTCCCCAAGTTGGTTCGGTTTCGGTATTTCTCCGTGGTTTTGGTTGGTATTTGGTTTGGTATCGGTATTCCGATTTTCTATAATTGACATCACTAGTCACCACATACCCAACTTTACTAAGGCTGTGCGATGCATGTTTTATGGCCAGTTTTTCATTTCCAACTCAATGGTGTTGGTTATAAGACCATCAGGACTCACCAGTGCAGTGGGTGGCCTTTAGATGCGCAGGTGTTAGGACTTTAATAGGCACTGGTGTAGGCACTCTGGTGTAGGCACTGGAGTTGGGCGTGTGAAACCCTCAGAGACACCGGTGTGGGCCCCCCTCATAGGCGCCGATGAGGGTCCCCAAAGTTACCGTTATTTGGCCCTCGGAAAAATAAGTATGGGACCATCACATGTGGGAAATGCCCCTAGAACTGGCCCCACAGAGGCCGGTAAGAACTCTCAGAGGCCAGTAACGGGCCTTTGGAGACCACCGAGGGGCCCTTAAAACCGCAAGAGGTCCTCAGAAGCCGGTGTGAGGTCCTTATGGAGATCTTAGTGTGGCTATTTAGGGCCCATGAGGTGCTCTAACGAGTCCCATGGGGCCCTTCTTAGTCGAAATATGGCCATCGTTAACCTTCAGCGGTCAAATGGCGCCGCAGGGCCCTTCGAACCCGAGGGTCCCTTTGAACCCGATGGGGGGGGGGGGGGGTACGTGTCCCCTTAGACCCCTAGCTACGCCACTGTTTCATATGCATCATGTCAGGTAGTCCGAAGGCCGAAGGGTCAGCCGGTGCCTAAGGGCACGCTGCGCGCCGGCCACCCGGATAGCCTGTGCAGCGTCTCCCTTTCATGCTCCGTTTACTACGCGCTCGATTCATTCATGATTCTGTGTTTCTGCGTCCCTCTCGCTAGGTGGCACCACGGATGTCATAGGCGATCCCAGGAAGACTGCGGCCAGAATGCCCCAAACGGCAGAAAATGAGGTTTTTGCTAAATATCTCAGAAAGTATTTGGCTTACGACGATGCAATTTCACAGACCACAGTGTCGTGGCAAATGTGCATACGCACAAATCGGGCACAAAATACTTATGCATTTGCACTTGATGTAAGACCAGATATAACCTAAAAAGCAAAACCAACCACTGTTTTACTGGAGAGCCGTACAGTAGGTCTATTAAAAAAGTCCCCGGCACCAGTGGGCGCTGCCTTCGCTGAGCCGAACCCCCGTCTGCCTGTCCCATATCGCGCCGGTATCAGGTCAGGAAGGGTCAGCGGGACCGCTCGGTCCGGCCCGCGGGCGGTGGACGGGCGGCCGGTAACGCTTTCCACCAGCCAGCTGTAGAATCCGACAGACGGGACGGCCACCGCTCAGCGCAGCGAAACCGGTGTTAAAGAATGGCAGTAGATGTTCATGGCCGATGAGATAGTCATTGTTAGCCCGTGCCCCACATGAATGCCTAGACTCTCACGCCCTGTTGGAGGGGAAATGGGGATTGAGGATCATTCTTATAACTCAGCTTTGG